AGGGGGACCCCCCCCCGCCCCCAGCCCCAGCCGCTGCAGGCGGGTGAGTGAAGGGCATCGTGGGGCTGGGCAGGGCTGGGGGCTGCGAGCCCGCCCCGCTCTGCTGCAGGCTCCCCCCCGCCCGGCAAGCTGCAGGCGGCGGCCGCCGCGAGATCAGCTCCCAGCCCCAGCGCCAGCCGCTGCAGGCGGGTGAGTGAAGGGCATCGTGGGGCTGGGCAGGGCTGGGGGCTGCGAGCCCGCCCCGCTCTGCTGCAGGCTCCCCCCTGCCTGGCAAGCTGCAGGCGGCTGCCAAGGCGCTTGGTGGCCCTGCGGTGCCAGCATGCCTTGGCCTGCTCTCTGCTTTGCAGCCGGCCACGCACAGCGTCCCCCCGGCAAGGAGGGCACCAGAGGCCACCCACCTCCTGCTCTGGGCCGCAGCCTGCCACAGGCAGCTCAGCCCCACTTCACTCTGCTCCACCAGCCCACCCCAGCTGGCAGCCACCTCCCAGCCCTGGCGAGCACAGGGCAGCCGGGCTCTCGGTGCCCCCCGCCCGCCCCCGACCACGGCCTCGCTGCCTCCGCCCAGCCGGCAACGCGCCTGCACGCAGGGCACAGCGCTGCCGCCTGCCTCTCCTGCCTCCTACAGCTCTCCCTGCTCGCTCTTTCTCAGGCCAAGCTGCTCCTGCCCCCAGCTGCTTGCCCGTGCACAGAGAGGAGCAGGAAGCCCTCGCGTGCATCCAGGCCTTTCTCACGGGCCCAACAAGGGTAACTGCCGACAGTGCCCCTTGCCCGGCACCCTGCTGCCACTGGCCGTGCCTCCTGTGCGCTCATGCTCTCCGCTTGTCTCTCTCCTGCTGGCCCTCAGGAAGAAGCCCACAAGATGAAGTTTTTGGCCTCTCTCTGCACTCTCAGCCGCTTGGCCGGCGCCCAGAGCCGTGGCCAAGGCAGCCCTGCTGGCAGAGCCGCCCAGGCTCGCAGCGGGCCTGGGGCCACGGCCACGGCCATGCTCTCCAAGGCCAGCACTTTGAGGAAGGTGCTCTGGGAGCTGCTCAGCATGCTGGAGGAGCGGCCACTGCGCAAACCATTTCTCACCACCAGGGACAGCACTCGCGTCCTTGCCCTGGCCGTGAGTCACCACAGGAGACCTTGCCTGCCCTCAGCACTGGGCTCACCTGTCGGGGGCAAGCGGCAGGTTGCACGCTTCCCCCCGGGCTCCGGCAGGCCGACGGGGCTGTCTCTGCAGGGAGAGCCCACTCTCGCTCTTTTCTGTAGGCAACCAGGGCGCTCTGTGAGCTCCTTCAGCAGTGCAGCCGCTCGCAGGAGGTGAAGGCCTTTTTCTCCCGCCTCTGCCTGGCCCTGCTCTTCCAGATTGCCTTCACGGCAGAGCTCACGCCGCAAGACCTTGCTGTCTTCCGGAGGCAATGCCACCGATGGGACCCGTGCACTCCCACCAGCCCTGTCAGGTGCCCCCTCCCGCTTCCTCCATCCCTCGCATGCACCTGGAGCCAGGGCCGGGCTCCCAGTGTGAGCTAGCCTTTGCTCTGCGCACAGCTCTGCAGTGCAGACCCTGGAGTCTCTTTTCTGCTGCGCTGGCTACGAGCATCAAGCCCTGCTCATCAGGCAGCAGGGTGGCTGGCACATGCTTCTCAGCGCTGAGGCCCTGCACTTGGGAGTCATTGTAGTGGCCAGGTGAGAGCCCTCTTAGGCCAGCTCTGTGCCGCACAGTCCCCTCGCTGTGGGATGGCAGGGGGGCCCCAGCTCTGCAGGGCAGGGGCTGCAGCCTCAGCACCTGGGAGGAGGGCTTGCACAGCTGAGGGGGCAAGGGGAGCTGCCTGCTCTTGTTCCTGCCCACTTGTGAGAGCTGCTGGAGCAGGAGCTGGTGTTAGCAAGGGTGCGAGAGGGTGCTTGGCAGGACCGGTCACCTCCCAGGGGCCTGCAGTCCCCTGCCTTTGGGACGGCGCTCAGGCCACACAGATGGCCATGGCTCTGTGGGCACGCAGTGCCACCAGAGAGAGGGCTCCAGGAACGGGGCAAGATGCACACGGGCACGTCGGAGGAGCCCATGGGGACCAGCCTGCCACGTGGGCAGGAAATGGGCCGTGTCGCTAGGCCGTGACTTTCTGCTCTGGGCGTCTTTCTGCTCTGCCGGCAAAAGGCGCCGGAAGATGCTGCCCTGGGTGGGCAGTGGTGGGCTGCAGTGGGGAAAGATGGCCAGTGTGTGAGCAACTGGCAGGGGCTGTGCTAGAGGAATGCCAAGGCGGCCTTAGCCCGCGTGTCCTGGCCTCTAGGTCAGGGGCTAGACTTAGCAATGCAATGGCCGACGAGGTCTGCCTGCTCAGCTGCATGCTGACAGAGCCTGCTTCGCCCTGCTAGAGAGCTAAGGAAGAGCCCAGCTCCTGAGCAGCGCTGGATGTTGAACCAGCTGGTAGCGCTACTCGAGAGGGAGGACGAGTTTCGGGAGATCCCGGCCATGGCCTTCTTCAGTGAGGTAGGCCTGATGACAGGCGGTGCCAGTTGCCACTTGCCAGCACTGGTGCCAGTTCTCTGTAGTCAATTGCTCGTCCAAGGCAGGAGGAGAAGAGGCTGCAGAGGGTCCAGAGGGCAGAGGAGCAGGTGGGCAGGTGTGCCCTGGGGCACAGGAAAAGGGCTGCGGGGTCCCGCAGGCTCTCTGTGGTCACAGCTGCCGGCAGGAGGGGTTTTGTGTGGCCTTGCAGGCCTTGCCCAGAGCTGTCAGTGGGCTCCAGCACGGCGTCAGGGGGCGGGCAGTGCCGCAGGCCTTGTCCGTCTCTCAGTGCCGTGTGTGTTTCAGCTGCTGAT